CCATGCTATTATGAAAACAACGATTTTTTGGCTAAAAATAAAAACTTTCACTCGCGAATAATCTGAAAAATAACCACTTTCAGAAAAAAAACTTTATAGAACAAAAGCTGCCACTATACCCGGACTCATTTTTAGCGAAACATTTTTTCATTCATTACAGGGTCAACTTTGAAGTAGAGAGTACCTTGATCCAAATTTAAGTGCTGTGCAAATCGCCGTATTTTACCTTTAACGACTGGACTAAATGTTTTACTCTAAAAACGTACTCGAAGCGACAAAAAATACAGTTTTTAAAAATAGAACAATGGAAACGTGCGTTATTAAAAACTAGGGTAGCCGCAAGCTATTATTTTCCGCTCGACATAAAGTAGAAGAATTCCATGAACGTACAGGGTGGTCTTCGCTTTTTCATTTGTAAAAGTGAACCCATACTTATATAAAACCAAACATATACAGGACGTTTCTTGTATCATGTGTTAACATTGCTGCATTCTGAACCGTAACAGATATTAGGTGGGAAGTTCGTAGGCTAACTCATAGATGGCGCTACTAGTATTGAATCCATGTGACTTTCAGTCAAACCTAACCTTCAAAAGATACGTGTACAAATTTCACAGCCGTAGGACTATTGGTTGGTGGGATAGAACATTTTGAGCGAAGCAACTTTGTTAGTTTGGAGAAAATGAATAAAAAGGATAGTTGCGCTGTGATAAAGCACTGCTTTTTGGCGAAAAAAATACTGTTGAAGCCAAAGCTCGGATGCACATGGTATAATATCCATCGACTATCTTGAAAGAAAGTATTTGAAGTAAAAGAAAGTGCTGCTTCATCAAGAGAATGCACCCTGTCACGAATCATTGAAAACGTTGGCAAACTTGCTGCCGCATCCACCGTACTCTGCAGAACTGAACCACCACGACTTTTTCCTGTCCTCAAACCCCTAATGAATACTCACTGGAAATAAATTCAGCGCCAATGAAGCGGAAATTATCCCAACTGATGCCTATTTTGAGGTTAAATACAAACCGTTCTATAAAAATAGTATTGAAAAATTTTACGACCGCTATAATCGTTGTATCGTCCTCGAAGGCAACTATATTGAATTATAAAATAGCAATTTGAACGATGTAACAATAAATCTTCAACCAAACGTTTCGTGTCAACGCGGCCACCATTTTTTTTTCAAATACAGACCTGTCTCTTTTATTACAATTATTGATAAAGCGATAAAATCGGAACTCAGTTGTATATCACACTTGATATTTTCATAGTGTTTCGGTTTAGATGACTAGCATCATCAGTGACAACAATCAAACAGAAAAACAATGTATTTCATTGTGAATTTTTGGGGGAAATACCTATAACGAACACGGATAATGACTTCTACAAGATATACTTCATTGAATACTCGAATTGATGACCACTTTATTGAATGCACATGACTCGAATACAAATACAATTTCTATGGCAATTTTCTAGCAAGATGGGTATCGAATGTATCTTCGTAAGTTTCTCAAATATTTCGAAGAACACTGACAACAAAGAGATTGGCCAGTAATTCCTATAGAAGGGTTTAACATCTCCTAATTTCAGACAGTTCGGAAATACACCTTGCTCTAAACCTGTCTTGAATACATATGTCGAAGAAGCGACGATGAGATTTTTCAACTCTTCTTCAATCTTCTTTGATCTCCATTCTGAAACCACACAGAATAATCAGTTCACGTGCCAATCCATTATTCATGAGTTTCTCGAGAGACTGCGGCGTTGACCTTCAGTTGCATACAAGCGTTTCCAACCATGACCTACAAAGTTAACTACGCTTTTTTTTTAATTACTATTATTGAAACCGTTTCAAATATTATAAATTTATGCGCTTGGCCTGAACGAAAACATTACTCCACATACTCATTTGTTTTTTAACGTTCCGGTATTTCTCTCTTCCCTATGTTTCGGTCATGTCTAATCGCTTCTTCCAGAATTTTATCTTTCCAGTCTAGACGAGGCCAATTTTATTACTCACCGCCTGTCATTGAACCCGTCGTTAAATATATAGTAACGACAACTTATCATAAATTGTAATTAATTTGAACCTTTCCAATTATATAGTATTTACGTTACGCTGCATTCATGACACATTATGTTAAATATACTTTTCAATAAACCTTTTCAATTATATAAGTGCGGGAATATTATGTACTGTCCATACATATTTTGAATAACGACTGTAC